GCACCCACCCCCCAACCTGCCCAGCCTTGCAGGCAGCCCCTCACCCCGCACCTATAGGTCCCGCTCCCCAAGCCCTGCCGGTTTTGCCAACCACGGGAACTTTCAGTAACCTAACCCTCATGGTTTTTGAGGGAAACCTGTATTATATGCTCCAATTCATATTAGCATTCAAAGGGAGTAAAACTTCCCATTGAAAAATCCCAGTCAGAAGAGAAGACCCAAGCAGAGAGAGCACTGATATTAGTCACTACATGGTCACCCCAAAACGTAGCACATATGGAAAAAATTGCTTACAAAGAAGGAAGGCTCAAACTAACAGTATTTAAGATAATATTTTTCTGACAAGCCTGCAGAGCAGTTGTTTAAGTTGTTTGTATCTACACAGTGCCAAGAGCTGAATTTCTGCATCCATAAAGTATTTTACAGCCTAAAGCAAGAGTTGGCAAAATACAGCTGGATCCAGCCTACCAAGGGATTTTATCTGGCCTGCAGCACATCCCTTGGCTCCACCCAGCCCAGGCACAGGGGGCAATCCAAGCCATGGCTCATGTAGTTGGTCCCGACACCCCTGGATGCACGGTGGGGCAGGAGTGGCTGGACTCACCTTCCCAGTAATGGCTCCTTCTGGCCACCACTGCCAGTGTCACCCTCACTGCTAGACCCAGCCCTGATGCCTGGGCACCCCAGCCCATCTGCCCTACACCCACCACTGGAAGTGCCAGATGGAGTGGCAGGTGGGCAGGGTCTCCATAGAGACCAACTTGGGACCCCCACGGGCAGGGCATGCTCATCCGTGCACATGTGAAGAGGCCGTGGGTGGGCAGGTAGTGGTGTCTGGGAGCAGGACAGGCTGCTCATCACCCGATGCCCCATTCCATCTGCCCAGCAAAGCATGCCCTGCTTGTGGGGCTCCTAGGCCAGTCTCCATGGAGACCCTGACCACCTGCTCCATTTGATCACTCCATCTGATCACTTGGGGCATTTTGGTGAGCTGTTGCAAGTGGGGGTAGAGGTGGGAGTTGCTGACCCAGCCTGAAACAAATCTCATCAAACCTCCCTAAGTGACCCTCCAACACAAAAAGCTGCCCACCCCTGGCTTAGAGGGAGTCTCAGCACCCACATGTGTGTGTGCAAACAATCCATATTATTTTACTTCAGTTAAAATACTCATAAATAGTGATGTTCAAACATTTTATCCAATGGTGCCCTACTTAAGGAAATTTTTACAAAATGGAATCTTAGAGCTGAACCACATGACTCAAATTAAAGTTAAGCAGAACTGTTTAGCTATGTTACTGCATGATAATCAGGGATTCCGGTTTTCTGTTTCCAATGGAAAAACAGAGAAAAGCATGGATTTCCCCGTTTACCAGAGGAAAATGTGGATTTTTCATTTTAATGGAGAAACCTGTGGATTTCACATTTTTGCAAAGAGCTCTCTGCAGGGTGGCAAAGTTCCAGCCTACGAAGGGCTGGGGGGAACGGGAGGAGGGCAGTCAGGCAGGGGGCATCATGTGCATGTATATGCACATGGCTGCCAGGCGGCCTGGAGAGCAGCTCCTGCAGGTAAGTCTGCGGGGGAAGAGGGAAGATTGAGGCCTCCATAGGGAGGGAGGGAGGGAGTTGGGCAGGTGCTTGGGGCCCAGGGCGAGAATGTGAGGCTGCAGGGCTCCGGCAGGGAGTGGGGTGGGTCTGCAGGTGAACTGTCTTGTGGGTGGGGAGGTAGGGCTGGCTCCCCACCACTGCACACACTCCCAGGGACGCGGGGGCAGCAACCCATTACCCCTAGATCTTTACGTGGGGCAGGAGCTGTCCACTGCAAGCTCGGGCTCCCTACCCTGCTGCCCTCCTCTGGGGCCTCTGCAGCCCAGCAGGTGCAACCTGGCAAGGAAGGGCAGAGCAGGGCCACATGGGAAAGCTCATTGCTGCTGTGGGCTCCAAGCTGCCCTGGTGAGGCATTCCCTGCCCACGCGGCAGAGCAAGGGTCATAACCCTGCACTGCTGCCTCTGCTACTGCCATGTGGGCAAAGGACGTCTTGCCAGGGCAGCATGGAGTTCACAGTAGCAAGCAGCTTCCCCATACAGCCCCATTCTGCCCTGTCACATTGGGTTGCACCTGCTGGGCTGTGGGGAGGGCAGCAGGGTGGGGAGCCTGAGCCCACAGCAGGCAGGAAGCAGGCAGCAGGGTGTTGGGAGCCAGTCTGCGTGTTCTGCTCTGCTGCAGCAGTTGCCACCTCCCGCAGAGAAGAGCCAGGGCTCAGGCACTGCTGCAGCAGGGAAGGGGATGCAGATCCAGGTCCCTGGCTCCATAGCCCTGGCAGCTAGAGGCTCCCTCCAACAGGGCTGGGGGGGCACAGGGCGGGAGGCACCAGCAGGACCAGGGGGTTGTGGAGGCAGGGGGGAAGTGAGTGGCACCAGCAGGCCTCAGAGGGCTGTTGGGGGGGATTGAGGGGCACCATCAGGACCTGGGGGGCTGTGGGGCAGGGTAAGGGACACTAGCAGGGCCAGGGAGTTGTGGGGCGCAGGAGTGAGGGGCACCAGCTGCACTGGGGGGTGGGGTGAGGAGTATCAGCAGGGCTGTGGGGGCTGTGGCTTAGGAGTGAGGGGCCTGGACTTGCATTCTGTGAGCTAACAGGGCAGAGAGAGCTATGATTTTCTCTGATAAAAAGCCCCAAATCAAATACCAAAATTTATAGCTATTTAGAATTTATTTTATTATAGTGATTGAGGCACTGGTAGGATTCCAAATTGCTTTAAAATTGTAAATATCTCAAGAAAACATTGTGTTCAACTAACACCTAGATATATAGTGGTCTTTCATTTTAATCATGGATTGTTGAGGTTTTAGTCAGAGAATTTGCTATTTTTTAATCAGGGAATTTGTGATTTTTTTTTTTTTAATCAGGGAAAACCTAAATCCCTGATGATAATGCATAACTGCATTCAGAGTCAGCATTACTATGAAACATGACCTACTGAAGGTCTAAAGTGTTACTGAGATAAATTAGATTCCTACATTATTTTACTATTCTGAAAGTATCTAATGTTTTGTTTTTCATTTAATTATACATTAGTTGCTCACAGGGACTCCCTACTTTAAACATTTTAATCAGAGCATTATGTGGAATCTTTAAGGATTACTATTGAAGAAAGGCTCTTACCTTTAATAATTGCCTTCTTACAAAATCAAATGTTTTCAGGTTTAGGCCTTTACACAACATTTTACTACTCAATCTGATATATTCAGTTTAATATTTCTCTGACTGCAGATCTGGAAGTTCACAGCATGGTACTACAGAAACTTTGATGTAATTCTTCTTACCACAAATGTAAAGTTTTTTCCTTGCGTTTCACTTGTTGAAAAGTCCAGTCTACCTGGATCCACAGCTCCCAGCTCACCTAAACATTCTCCACAAAGCAGTCGGGCTTGAGGGTTTGCATCTTGACAGCCAATTAAAAGCACAGTTACCAACTGGGAGATGATTGGCTCCACAGTTTCACTATCTGTTACATATTTAGTCAACTTTTCCTAAGAAAAATTGAAAGAAACAGGAAGACAAATAATCATAAATACGGATGTAGCAAAGTTGATCTTAAGAACTTTATTACTGTAGTCCATTCTTCCATAAGCTTCCTGTTTGTTATCATTCACTGCCTATCCTGTTTTATTTGTGATCCAGTCTTCTAGCTTAATGATCAGATAGTCTTCCTGCACTGCTCAGTCAGATAAGAATAAAAATAGAAATACACAAAAGAATAAGGGATACAAGATGTATTTTCAATATATAATCTATTTAGAGCAGTGATCATCTTTTCTTATCCATAAGAACTGAAAACAACATCCTTTCTATAAAAACAAAAAATGAATTTGTGGGTGGCCAGATTACAGTGCAAATACTCAATGCCTTTCTTTTAAACCTGTTCCCGATTCATTAGATAAAACAGGTATTGTTTCACACTATTTTAATTTTTGTTAATATATTTCTTTAGCCATACCACTACAGATAATTAGAAAAACAATAGCCACTGCAAGACACAGCTGATTTGACAGCAACTTACTGATGCATCAGCATAGCAAAAAACAACAACTTAAGCCTTCTTATCTATGCCCATCAATAGATAGCCATCTGATGTTGAATAGCTGAGCATGGGAAAATGACTGGAATTAGGAACTATTCATGTGGAAATGTATACTTTCTTATCTGTGAATCAGCCTATAAACATACTGAATTTGTAAGAGTTAGAAAACATGCCTTTGAGATTAAAAAAGAAATGGATCACTTAAAATCACTCTCTCACTTAAGCCAATGTTGAAAAGATAAACTGATTCATTTACATGCCAGACATAAGTATCACTTATAATTTTCCTTATATTAATCAGTTTAAAAATGCTGACATAAGAGCAACAATGAAGTAGCCTTCATAACTGACTGTAAAACTAGCAGTAAAAAATTAAGCACATCCAAAGCCTCCATTAAAATAAGGAGGATCATTCTAAATTCTGTTCAGTAAGAATGAAAAATACTTGAATAAATTTCTGCTAAAGGAACAGATTGTATGAAAAAGGATCATTTTCAGTGTATCAAATCAAAGGACAGAAATATCGTACAACACTTAAAATGGAGATTGTGGTAATAGAAAAAATATTTCTAAAAGAAATTACCATTGCATGAAAATATTAAAATGCTGTAGAGAACTGCCCTGATGAATGATCAGTTAAATATATACATTTTCTACACACCAAACCAAAAAATATTTAAGAAAATAGTGATTTTCATAAAAGTTACATAATCTAATTGAAGAATAAAATGTCAAAGCATTATCCTAATCTATTATTAGGATAACATACCTGAATAGTTTTACACCATACCAGCACTCTCTAAGGAGTCTAGAAATGGAAAAATTAAAAATACTATTATAGCTGATTCTCTCTTTATGTATCTCAGTCTGTTCCAAGACTGTTTCTACCTTCCTCCAATTCCTTTCCTTTAACCACAGGAAACTGTAGAAAGCTGGATATAATAAATAAATTCACTAATCTTGAACTACTCTCTTGAAGTTTTCATTCTCCATCACCTCATTATCCCCATTTGTCAGCTTCCTTTTTAATTTTTTTCCTCCTTTTTTCACCTGCATGCCTTTTCTTCTCCCCCCTCTCCACCTTTTGCTTCTGGCTGTTGGCTGGTCTTCTCCACTTCTTTCTGCTCTTCCTTGATTTGCCCATTGTACAGTTATCCTCCTCTCAGGTTTCCAACACAACCCCTGGACTTTACTTTTCTTGTTGTCTTCTGTGGCCTTGCCATTTTTTCTTTTCATTCCTTTTAGGGCTCAAGTCTCTCAATGTCCTTTATTTTTGCCCATTACTTCAATGCACCTCCCAACTTCCTCACCCAGAGAAAATCCTTTACTCCTGTATTTGGTCCTATTTAAGAAATTTGCACTATAAAGCAAGTTGCAGACAACTTTATATTTGGCTTTATGAAACCTTTTTCTAAAGGTTCAATCTGAAATTCATGTTGGTTGATGACAGGTTTGCTTAATAAAAGGTTGTTAAATCAGCAAATACTTTAATAAAGAATAAGAGAGACAGATGATTAGTTCTACCTAAGGGCAACCTCCTTACAATTCTAGATTGACTTATCTCTTGTAATGCTAAGTTCTCCTTAATAAATGGTTAAACAAAGAAAAGAGACTGCTGATTCACAGCAAAAATGCTAAATTCAAGAAAAATTTGAAAGCTCTCTTAAAAATTAAAAAGAGGAATAATTTAAGGGCTTACTATCTTACCCATTCTGAAAACAAGAGAAATCTTTACTGAGATACTGAAGAGAGATTGAGAAGTCACTTCAACCTATCATACTTATAAGAAAACTGAAATCCCCCAACATAAAATAAAACAATACTGTTAACCCAGACATTACCCTGGTTTATGTTTAACTGCATTTATCAGTAACTTCATTTATTGTAGCAGCTTTAAATACCTGATTTCTGTATAAGGTTTCCTTCAAACTGGTAAGTGCATGGATACGAACATCTACATTCCCATGCTGAATAGCTCTCATGGATAGCTGCAGCATTGTTTGTAGGTCTGTGCTTTTGGAGGACTCCTGAAACAAAATATATAGCATATGGCACAATTACTGTGTCACTAAAAACATAGTTTTAGTCTTATTTCTTTCCCGTTCAGAACAATAACAAGTGTTCTGTCCATTTTGCCATTTTTTTTAAATTACTAGTTTATCAGCTCATTTCCCACAGCAAGCTGAAATTCTTTATAAAATGAATTACCAAGCCATAACATTTTCTAATCCCTCTCAAAGTCCAGATGAAAAAATAAGCCTTTTGTAACACACACTAACAAGTTTCTCTCTCTCTCTGAGGGGATAGAAAAGTATAATTTCCATTCTAAAGATGGGCAAGAATCTTAACATTAGTTTCTGTAACATCTCAGTGAATCAGTGGCACAGCTAAGAATATAATCCACTAGTTTATTCTGCTTTCATTCTTGATCTATTCAATGCCCAATGTTTCACTTTAGCTAAAAAAGTACAGAGATGTACTTTAGATGTAGATGCACTTACATTTTTACCCTCTTAATCTGATATGTTGTAAACATAAATTCTTCTCAAAGAGAAGTGTTTATTTACTTTTCCAAGGAAAGCTAGGCCATTCAGAAGAAAACTTCCTGTTAAATTAAAACTAATCTTGTCTACATCTCCTATGTTGTTTTGAAAATCTCTACAATTATATTATCAGCCTAACATCCAGTACTATATTCTTAGACCACAAACAAATTCTTTTGCTGCATAAAGTCATTAAAACTGTACCTTTCTATACTCCTGAAGGACTTTTTGAATTTCTTTCAGTTCAGGATGGTCAGGCAGAAAATAAATTTCATGTAGAAAATCTTGTACTGCATCTCTAATAATTTGATTTTTTAAAAATAAATATTACAAAAAGAAATAATTGAAATAAATTCTTACAAGACCATCATAAAAGAGTAATAGAACATAGTATCAATAGAAGAATGAAAGCTAAAGAAAGAGTGCAAAACACATTCAATATGCTTACAATAAGATTGCATTTAAATTAGAAGACAGTTTTTATTAAACAAATTACTTCTTTTGCTACTAGACTGAAATGACAGTGGTTCTCTCCTCCCCACCCCCCACCTTCCCAGTCCAAGCTTGACTTGGTGTCTAAGATTAGCGCTATCCAATTGGGAGCCCGTGGGCCCCAGTGGACACCTTTCTCGCTGCCACATGGTATGGGAGAGGCCAGGGGTCTGTGTACCATCTGTGCAGCAAGGGGGGGTGGGGGAGAGGGCTGCACAGAACCAACAGAGGCCACACAGTGGAGGGAGCCATGTGCCACCAGCAGAGGGCCATATGCCACTTCAGCCCACAAAACGGGGTGGGGGATCCTGGGCGAGGTGCCCCCTGCCCTGCAGTGTACAGGCAACCCCCGCTTAACACTCTTAATTGGTTCCGGGAAAACCAAGCATTAAGCAGAACCGCACTAAACGAAACCCGTTTCCCCATAGGGTTTAATGTATATAGAAATAATTGGTTACTTCTTGCCATAGTTTCTCACCATCGCCGCTGCCTCTCCCCACCCCTCCACTTGCCTGCCGGCTGTTCTGGCCCCACGTGCCAGCCCATGCCCCGTGCTCCCGCCGGCTCTGGCACCATGGGGCCCTGCACTCATGCTTCTCCCTGCTGCCACTTCTCCCCATCCCCTGCCCAACAGCTGCTCTGGCACCATGTGCCAGCCCGGGCCCCGTGCTCCTGCTGCCCTGCCCTGCACCTCTGCTGGCACTGGCAGGGGCCCCGCACTCATGCTTCTTGCTGCCGCTGCTTCTCCCCACCCCTCTGCCTGCCAGCTGCTCCAGTACCATGTGCCACCCCTGGCCCTGGCCCAGCGGCACCAGTGCAGGCCCTGAGCTCATGCCCACTCGCTGCCACTCATCGCTTCTTGCTGTTGCTGGTTCGCTGAGTGCTATAGTGAAGCTGGCTCAGCACTAAGTGAAATGAGGTCTGAATTTTAAAGGAGCACTATAGCGAAACAGCGCTAAATGAAACCGCGTTAAGCGGGGGCTGCCTGTATAGCTTGCATGATGTGCAACCCAGGAGCCGCACACAGGTATAACATGTGGCCATCAGAAGCTGGAAAGCCATCTGAGACCATGTCTATATGGCCTCTGAAGCAAACCCAGGACCCCTGCTGAAAAAATGTTCCATCCATTTATGTGCCGAACCCACAGATTAGGCATTGAAGGTGGCTTGAGAAAGGGCTACAGCCATGCCGAGCACAAACCTCAAGTGCCCCACTCAGGTTCTCTAGACAAGAGCCTTTTGTAGACATGTTATTAAAGGACATAAAACAGTGAAACTGTAGCATGCTACATGCATTAACTACCAGCTCACGTAAACAGCTGAAAGGCAGAATAAGCAAGAAGTAAAATTTGGCTATTATGATTTCTGAAAAGCTATTTGAATGTTCACTGAAAGTAAAAGGAATCTTCCACAATGTGTAGCCTAATTTTTCATACACTTTCATAATACAAACAAAATCCAACACCTCTTCCTGACCCCAGGAATATTGCTTGCCTAACTTCAAAGTCCTTCTGCAAAGTATGCAGGTATTGGAACTTTTATAAAAGAACTCTCTACTACAAAACATTTTTTCACCATTATTAGGAAACTTTAATGTAGTTACCACTATCATCCCTGAGATAAAGCCCATGCCATCAACCCATTTGCCAAATACATTCAGCCAAAATACCTGTTTTCAACTATGAGAAAATAAAATACAGCTGCAGTTTCCTTCGGCTGAATATGTATAAGTGGCAGCAAAGCTACTATCACATGGCTGAGCAGGGAACCAAGGTAAGCATGGTCCAGGCATCGAACAAAACAGTTCCACGCTCTAAATGAGAAGGAAAAACAACGAACACATAAATATTTTCTTCTTTATATTGATATTAAGTGTCCAATGCCAAGTATGCACACTTAATATCTGACATTATTTCAGTATTGTGATTTACGGGTATATATTAAACTAAATATCAAGCTTAGAAACAGATTTTGCAAATGAGTCACAATGTCAATTCACCTGCAGCATAACTCTGGAAAGTCATCCTTGTATCGTAAGCCTGTTCTCAATGTAGTCATCATCTTCACTCTCACTGCACTGATATGTTTGGGACCCATAAGCTTCATTAAAGACATCAGACTGTTTAAAGCCTGAAGAAAAAAAGAAAGACTGTCTTGGATGAAGTAGGCATTTGGTAAAAAAGCAAAATAAATACAATTTTCAAAAGAAGTTAATATTTATCTATTGTTTTCTCCTGTAAGTGGCTTTACTTGTTAAAAATATTTATTTAAAACTTGTGGTAAAACTTTAAAAAAAGTTCTCATTTTCTTTAAAACTATTAAAACATTTTCTTTGGCTAACAGTATTTGTATACAATAGTTTTGCTCAGCTGCAGTAGCAGTAGCAAAGTCACCGCAGAAAAAGGCTCTTTGACCTGTAAAAGACTTCAGTGACGCATTCGTATTATAGCATTTTACTTAAATGACGGTGAAGGAGGGGAAGCCATTATACAGAGAAATTGTACCTGAATTTGAAATCCAGTTATTCAAGTTACTCAGCTAATTATCAATAACTAACATTCATTGCTGCCTTGCTTGCCTCAAGCTCCTGTAATGGTTTTACCTTCAAATCTTCAAAAATCTGCATCCATATTCTCCTGTTTCTTGCTTAAAAGAAAGTCATCATCACCCTGATGTTGACACTTACCATACTAGAAACTCTTATCGCTGAAGAGAAGCTTTACTGTTGTCATCTTTCTAGAAACATATGACTTCAAAGACAATATTACATATAAAGGTTACTTTGTCCTACTGCTTTTAGGACAAGAAATGTGTCGAACAGCTGAAGTTTAAAAAAACCCTCATCTCTTTCCATTGAGCACTGCTTGTTTAGTTTCTAGAAATTCCTTGAAGAAAGAGATTTAAAAGTGTTCTGCTGGGACCAACCTTTTTAGCAGGCTTGCCAGAAATTAGCTCTGAACCCTCCCCAGGGGTGGAAACAGATGTTGTCTTTGTGCCACCATAAAAATGTTTATGGTGGCAAAAAGGCCAAGCAAGCAGAGGTCCGTACTCCTTGTCACACCACAAATGCCCCGCACATGTGGCTGTGACATAGGTAGTACTAATTTGTATCGCCTCATTGCAGTAGAAGTCTGTTTGGTTTATGGTACAAAAGTGTGGTCAGCCCGGAGCTGCCTGTACCCTCCAGCCACCCTGACATGACACTGCTGGTTCCTCCGCACCCTGGGAATTCTCATTCCCAGGGCACACAGGATTGGGCCCTTAAAGCCCTGGAGCACCAGCCCATTTGGGATTCTTCAGGAGCCGATCAACACTGTAGTGTGTTCCAGCTTCAGACCAACAGCTCCAGGACAGCACTAGAGTGTGCAAACTCAAGCTAGCGTGGTCTCCAGAGCACGTCTGGGGAACATGCTGCACACACTCCCATAAAAATCAATGGGTAGAACAACAGGCAATGTGTGTTTTGCCAATGAAGTGGATCCACTATACTGGGACACATCCCAGCACAGATGATCCACTTCATTTGGCATATAAGCTACAAATAGACATTGCCACTCTGATTCCCTTCTTCTGCCCAACCTGCTGCTCTGCTTTCTGCTCCCTAATCTGTGCTCCCAGCCCTATCTCCACCACTACTGTCTGTTTCCTGCCCTTTGCAGTCACTAAAGCTCAGTGGAAGCAATGCCCACCTAAACCAAAAGGAAAACTAAGAACGGACAGAGCCATGGCATTATGAAGAGGAGACCACCTCAATTTGAAATCTGCATTATGAAAGTAGAAAGCGCTTGGAGATCATGTTCTTTCAGCATGATGGGAAAAGCTTCTTGTCTCTTATATTTGCATACAAGGAAACCTCATTAAATAGACTGTCAATCATGAAACTGCTGCCAAAAGATGCATGTGTTTAGTAATGGAGACCAAGTATAAAGTTGATTGATGACTATAAAACACATGACCCAAATTAAGCAAACGTACTAACGGGGAACAATTTTGGCCCCTTTAAAAAAAAACAACCAACAAAAAACAGGCAGATGTTCCCTCCACAGGGAACTGGCACCAGGCCTAGAGGTACTGCAATACCAGGCCAGAACCAGGAGGGCCAGAGGCAGCCCTGACACCCTCCCCTTAGTGCCAAAAATTCTTGATCTTAGCCAAAAGGCTGAGATGCTGATGGAAATCTACCACAAAACTAGGTTAGCACAGTGCATCTGAATAAGATAAATTCTTTTCAGAATTGCACACAATTTCCTTCAGCACCAACTCTTTTTCAAGTCATGGTGAGCCACTACACTGAATACATTTTGACTCCCTCTTCACTCCCACAGCTCAGCTGTGCCTTTCTTTCCCATTTACAATGATTCCTGTTTCTTCACCAGCCTTAAATGCCCGGCAAACATCACCAAACAGAGCACAAACAGTTCACCCAGAATCCCTCTGTTGCCTCCTCACTCAGCCTGCCACATATGATTAGTGTCTGGTCTCAGCCCTCCATGAGGTGGAGCTGGACCACACTGCCCTGTGCCTCATCTGCATAAAAAAATTTGGGGGACTCATGACAAGAACACACAGTTCCAGTCATGCAGCTGTCTAATTAACACATGGATCCTTCGTGGGGGATATCTGGAGTTTACACACATACTAAGCAGTGCTGAGTTGTGTGGTCACCAAGGCTTGAAATGCTGTCAACTCCATTGGGGCCCTGCCAAATGAACTGTATGGTAAATCATGAGCCTTTTAGCTTTGGACGAATATCATGAAGTTTTGCTATATATAAAGTAAGTACAAAAATGCTGCTTAAAAGTGTGTTTATGGAGTAACTGTGCTAATATTTACAGCAGTTTCAAGAAAGGTAAAATGTGTCAATTCTGGATGAACTAAGTCTATGAGTACCTGCAGTAATTTGCATGTTTAATTCAAGGTAAGTGTTTTCAAATCTGCCCCTTATTTCCCTGTGCTTAGGGAGAGCAAAGTCTGACAATAACGAGGAGGGGAAGGGGCAGAAGGCAACCTCGCCCCTGAGATTCATTTTCCCTGCTCTAGCAGTGGGAAGGGGACAAATTAAAGGCAAACCTCCAATAATTAGATTTTATACCTGGAAAATTATAACAAATTTATAAATTTTCCACACATAGAATCTAATTATTGGGAGGTTCCCTTATACTTAAGGTTGTCTTATATTCAAGTAAATAAAATAAATATGGTATCTGCCAGAAAGGGCTCCTTGGAAAAAAACAAAACAAAAAAACTTGACTCACTTCTTATCGCTAAAAGGCATTCTCTCAACACTGGAATCTTTAAACTTTGCCATGAACTTGAATGTTCAAATCAAGACACCAATTTGAATTTCTGCAAGCAGTCCAAGTAAGCTAGTGTAGCCTGAAAGCAACCACTGCTAGTCCCCTTTTTCTTTAAATCCAACTGATGTTCACTCACCATTTTCTTATCTTCAATGCCAACACTGGAGCTCAACAACTGCATGTTAAAGAAGGCCAGTATGCCCAGCAATTTAGGTTGTAGATAATCAGCCTGAAAAGGTTAAAAATATCATCTCACCACTGAGTCACTCTAAAATATTTAGAAATAACAGTTCATTAATAGCCCCTAGTTTAATCATGTAATAACAACATTCTGAGTTTTACATTTTGCCTGTGTACATCATGGAAAGCTGCCTCATTGTAAACACACCTTAACAGAAAATGAAAGGCTACTGAAACAGCTAAGCACACATTCCAAAAGACAGAGATTCTTCAGTATATATACTTTGGGAAAGATATTGGGAAAATATCATAACAGACAAGTCATTCTGTTAAATGGATGTTTCTTTGGCAGTTTGATTTCTTAAATGATATGCATGTTTTCTCTCCATATTATAGAACTTCTATTATAGTATCCTTCAGGCACTATAATCTAAAGGAATTTTTGAAGTGTGCTCAGTCATTCCATCCAGGAAGAGCACACATCAACTACTGTAACTTCCTTAACCTGATGAAGGGTTTTTGACCCCGAAAGCTTGCTTAAAAATTGTTCTCCAACTATTTAGTTGGTCTAATAAAAGATATCAGATTCACCCAAAGAACCTTGTCTGCCTATGTCCTAAGACCAACACAGCTACAACCTACACCTCAGAATACTCTGCATTCCCCCACTTAACCCTGAGACTGAGAAGGAAGATCATTCCATGAAAAAACCTGGATACATGTTTTTCCTTACCATTAATTCAGGTGATGTTATGTCTCTGGGTCCTTGATATGGATCATCATGAGATGCAAACGAAGCCAATATTGACAAACCATTGAACACTTGCTGATAGTGCTCTCCCATACGTAGCAATAGTTCATTATGCAATCCCTGGTAGTCCTGTCTCAGCAGACTACCCAGTTCTATCTCGGTTTCATTCTATAAACCAATACAAATGGGGGGAAAATTATTTTCATTTTACAGTACTTATGTTCCAGAACAGTGGTTTTCAACACGGTGATGACTGTGAAAGCTTGGCTGGACCTACACATGAAAATTAAATGACCAAATTAAAATAACAGTGTATCTTGCACAAGAATGCAAGATTGTGACTAGGACCTGTGCGGGCCGGCTCCCAGTCCCGTCCTCGCCGGGCGCGAGCCGGGCCCATCTGGGTGCACACCGGCTGTGG